AGGAGTTTGACTAATTTAATAGGCTCGAACTGGCGACAAAAATAATTTACTACAATGGATTACGGTTGCGTCAACTTGTGGCCTACCATGAAGTAATTAACTTCGTAATTTCTTCTGTATTTGCTTGAGCAGACTATAAAGAGCCAGCCCGCTAGAATCCAATTGCCTTGACTTAATATATGTTCCGAATCCGTGCGATGAAGCTGCCCTATTTAATAGTCCCATCTGCAATTTCTACTGTTCTGAATTATGAGAGCAACCACATATTCAAGTGGATCCAGCCCTCCTCACAGAACACCTTTCCTAACCTCTATGACGGAAAATTCTCAAAATAAGTGGCATTGTGATGATAAGTAGATAGATAATTACTTATTCAATATTGGTAAGGCTGCTAGCTTTAAATATTGTTAAAATTGCATCATCATCTCTTGAGCAATAATTTGACTCGAAAATTTTCGGGTAATCTTGGTCTTTTTGAAGACAATGCATCGACTTCTATCTATGTCTTTGAAAATTTTACAAGCTGATCATTTCAGGTTGATATATGCTCTGCATGGTTTATAACCTCATATTCTAAGAGAATTTTGTTCGTTAAAGGTTAGAGGAACAAATTTTTGATCATCTGGTTCTGTTCCGCAGATAGTAACGTTTAATGAACGATACATAACTTCATTGATCTATGAATTGATATGATACCATAAGGGTATTCTGAGTTGTTTATGTTTCTTCATACGCAAGTCAGATAACACTGATTGGTCCCATAATTAGGATGGAAGCTGGAGGCGGGGGAGGGTTGTTTTGAGCCGCCGTCTTCGGGGCGGCCAGAGTCAGCTCCAAATCAGGAGCTCCTGTAGTACTTGTGATGGAGGAAATATTCGATAGCTGATAGCTTGAGGATCCGGATGCAGCTGGCCAAATGGACATGGAGTCGATATCCATGTGATGTGATGAAGAACCCTCTTGAACTTCTATGCAATCTTGGTGATTGGTTGTAGCATCCACAGCAAATGAATTAAGGTCTAACAAATGGGCAGCTGTGTCAAGATCTGAGCTTGCTTTGCTGCTCAGACAATTAGCTGAGGTTGTATCATTATTTAGCTCGAAACTCAAATCGAAAACCTGATGACGGACAATTGCGTTCTTGCTCCCAACCTGCTTGTTGATCATGTTGACACAAATCAGTTCGGTGTGATATGTAATTTCGTGGCAAAGAATTTGAAACTTGTTATTGACACAGCAATTAAGTCAGGATGATGGACACATAATACGTGAAATTTACCATGTCAAATAGGCTGGAACGCCTTTTCTTTTTGTTGAGACTGGCTTGGCGAAGAAAATACTTCTGAGCATGACTGGCAACTTGGGTTGGCGTCCTTGTGGTCACAAAGTTTCTTGAAATTCCCCTCCAGTCTCCTTTTCCTAACTTTTCAAGTCCAACTAAGAAAGAACGGTGTTCCTCTTCTGTCCATGGAACCCCTATACCATCAACAATCAAAACAAATCAAACACTCATTAATTAAGGCCATTAATCCTGCACATGCTACCCACTGGGCCGGCCGCTATCTAAATTGCTAGAACAGAAAGTTGCCATCTGCATTTTGATTATCAATTTCACTTTTGGGAAGGGGAAAAGAAAAAAAGAACAAGAAGAAGCTTATTTATCATAGTCCCGATGCTCATATATATGGTCGAAGAAGCCCACAGAGATGTTTAGACTGACAACCTTTTTACAATTGATCAGTATGGTGTCTAAATAGTTGTGCTCGAGATATCAGACATTTTACAGAAAGAGGCAAGTTAAATTGGCTGGGATTGGTAATAGTAAATAGCTTTTCGGAATGTATAATGGGTGACATCTATTAATCATATCTTTCGGAAAGTTCTCAGGGAACTATGTTTAGCACAAAAGATACAGACCTACTTTATAAACACAAATTCCATGAAAAAGTGTGCACCCAATCCCCTGTGCATTTCTTATTCTCCTTTGTTGCTCGAGGAAGAAAGCATTCTTATTCTTGAAATGGAACAATTGTTTATTGTAGAAAGAAGAATGCGTGGTAGTGATCAGTACTGTTTGCTGTAGTTACCATTTCAAGGCAGACAAATAAGTTGAGGAGTTTGTTGAAGATATGAGGCTGTATTCTCCAAAATGATTTCAAAGAAACCATGAACATTGAAACCATACGAACAATCAATACTTGAAAAGAAAAGGGAAAGTGATTTCATTACAAACCTTTTTTCCTTTCCTGAGGTCGGCCTAAGAGTCCGTCGGAGAGATAACCGATAGATATCTTGTCAGAATTTTCACCGATGGAAATTCTTGATGAAGAGAGTGACGATGATGGTGAAGGAGATGAGGTCGGTGATGAAGACAAGCAGTCCAAGCTGAAACTTTTCTTCATGGCAATGGAATTAGAATTAGAAGAAGAAGGAGCAGAATTACACGAGACATCAAGCTGTACCCCAAAAAGCCTCAAGCCAGCAGCCATAACACTAATATTGCCGCTGGAATAAGCGGTACAAGTCCTTGAATTGTGGCCTATGTTCCCACAATGTGAGCACTTTCTGCCCATTTTCACCCAGACAATGCTCTATAACTTCCCAAACTACCCACATCCAAGGGAGAGAGATCGATGGGAAAAAAAAGAAGAGAGAGAGAGAGAGAGAGAGAGAGCTCTTGAATAACTATCCAAGTGAATATATATAGACATAATGATGTGTTGAGTGAGGTGGGGTTTATGAAAATGGATGCACACCAAGGGTAGATGATTGGATGCACATTGTTTATTGTAGGATTTTTCCAACTTGGGTTCATACCTAAGAAACCAATACCTCTCTCTCCTCACATTTTACTTTTTTTTCTCAAACAAAAATGGGGATATTCCACATATATACTATAGGAAGAACCAAGGCTTATCTTAGATAAGATATCTGTTTACCATTTCAGTGGTGGGAGGGACCCTTGAAATATGCTTTTTTTACTTAGCATGTTAGCCACAAAGAATACAAACATTAACTAACAAACAAAATGCATGGTAATCCCTTGAAGCTTAAACCTTTTCCTATTTGCATAGACTAAACCTTCATTGGCTCCAACCCCCACTTTGATCCGTCACTTACTATCAACCGTCAAAGCCAAATTAGATAGTATAATTCTTGGATGTTGCTTGTGATAGTAAAAGGTTCACACAAACACACACACTAAAGCACACAGTATCCCTTGGTTGGTGCAGCAAAATCGGTAGTATATATATATATAGACTGAACTCCATTAAGATACAAGATTATAGTGGAAGTTAGTGTGCATTGACAAGTTAAACCAATTATGGTAATGAGTGACATTTCTACAAACACGAAACCCTAATAGAGGATGTCCTCCTCCAATGGTTTAAAAGAGGTTGTTAGATGATTTGAGAGGGGGAGAAGACCATCATTAGCGGGGGAAGAAACAGAAGGAAGGAAAGAGAAAAGAACCTTGCTTCTAAAATTGACGTTGATAAATTAACATATGCATTTCATAGAATCAAAGTCTCCATTTGAACTCTTAAATTGATGCGTGATCATATGTTGAAGAGAACAAGGGAAGTCAGCAAACTTTTGTTGGTCGTCAGGAAATTAAGTAGAACTACTACTAGTTTTGAATGATTCAATTTCTTCTCTTATTCTACCACATATTATATGACACTTGACAAGTCACTATTTCGAGACCTGGGAGAGCAATTTGGAAATTGTATATTCAAGGGGAACCGAAGTAAAACGTAAAAGTCAATGTGGAAATAGAGCTAATTATTGTTCTTCGGCAATTTATACAAATCCGATTATCACACAAAATAGCAACCGAAACGGAAATGAATATTTGTCACAATCTCGTTGCCACGTTTGGCACACCGGCAGCCTATATTTAATGGATATAACATCACCATCCTTTCTCTTTTAATTTATTGTTTGTACTTCAAAAACACATAAAAAAAAAAAAAAACTAGGGTTTGCTATATGATAGTCTAACTACTCTATGTTAGTTGTCATCCCACTATTTGTGGATCATTAGATGTAATATTTTTCAATCTCACTCTGTGTAGATTGAATAAAAAAAAGGAACTCGTTAGAGAAACTGTAGGCTGGTTCTTGGTATTTTGTAATCATATAAAAAGAAAATCAACGAAGACTCGGACAAATTAAACAGCGGGCAACTGATCAATTGAAATATATTATTTTGGGAAAGAACAGCCATTACCACTAATCCAACTCTTGGATTTGTATTCTTCTTCTTCTTCTTCTTTGTGTGATTACCAATAGCAGACAATATGATTATAAAAGTGTTGAAATAGAAAACCACAACTACCTACTAGAAAGCCAAGTGTGAAGAAGTCTAAAATAAGCGAAATTCTCAGTTTCAAGTTTTACCCAAGTCTGTCTTTCAAGGTTGTCTTTGTGCTTGGTTTTTTATCCAGTACAAATGCCTGACGCTCCATTACTGCACTGAATAAACACAGTCCCGCATTGGTCTACTGCACTGAATGTCTTCTTCTATCTTGTTTATATCTGATGTTGATTGAGGTCTTTTTATTTTGGAGACAAATCTTCCTCAGCCAGATTCTGTTTCCAGTGGGGTATCTGCTAGACAATTTAGCTAGTCAGTGATTAATGGCAAGTAGTTCCACAACTTCGTCTATGCAATTTTTTTTTTTTTTTTTTTTAGCAATTACGTAGGTATTACTCAATCCAGCTTAAACCAATATTTCCATTTGATCCCTCATTTCGGTCACATAAGTTGGCATTGTCATGAAGGAATCTTCTATCGAGAATAATAAAGATAAAGAAAACGTACGTTCCTTTCCTAACCTTCCTTGACTTTTTATCTTGTTACCGAACATTTGTCGAGTAAGTGTTTTTCACTCATCACTAGATAAATTAGTGCATCTAATCTCTCAGCCGTCAGGTTCAAATTCTGTATGTGACAGGTGACAGATAACAGTTAGGGATGCATCTGAAAAAAAGTGGGGGGAAAAAAAATTAGTGCATCTAATTGCGTCAAAAGCCAAAAGTTAGTAGGATATCATTATCTCCAGAAAACAGTGTCCTACCCTTTTCAAGACGGTTTGAAATAACCTACATCGGACCCTATCCAAGAACTGAAGATAAGATTCCCCATAGCCGAGTTTCTGTCCATAATGAGTGGATGTTTGACTGAAATCTTCATATGGAAAGACTAAAGAAGGTTAAAAATCTGATCATCCACGTCATTTGCAAGATCTCAGTTGTCTGTTATCACTTTATCACAGTCACCTTTTTTAGTTTCTTCATTCATCCAAAGGGGATGAGGGAGGAGTCTGATGACACTGCATCTCTTGTCCTACCTATTGGTGGTGCAGAGGTAGAGGAGGAGGTTGTGGAGGCAACGAGCAAATGTAAAACCTGCATCTCCCAAGCATACAATGCCAAATAAAAGGATCACAGGAACTTGGTAATCAACAATAAATAAATAAAGCATAGTGCTTCAAGAAAATGCCCCTCGTGGGGGAAGAGAGGGCAAAGTAGCTATGATGTTTCATACATCAGTCCAGTTTCTGGCGCAATTAATCATTTCAGAGAGTAGTGGTAATCTAACAGAGCTAATGATCTTGAATTTTGATCCTTTTCCACTATGGGGCGCAAGGCAACGCTGGCAAGGGGACACGGAAATGTAAAAGATCTAAGAATGAAAGAACCATCTTTAGTCTGAGATGAAGCGAAGAAGGCTTGAAATAGAATAGATACGATGATTAAAAAACTTGATTATTCATCCAGACAAATTACCATTATTAGGATCAACAATACGTATATGGTATGAATAGATGAAAAACTCTGTCATACCTGAACACTTGCGAGGTTTTTTTGCAGACTATTCTTCACGAAAGCTACCTAGTATACACTCTTACAACTTCCACAATTGAACATTGAAATACAAGAAATGATGCTGAGGCAGGTTTTACGTTTGGCTATCTCTACTGGATAGAGAAAAAGGCATCAAGGGCAGAATCAGTGAAGAAGTAAACAGAGGGATTTATAAAAAACTTGTAACACCAAACTTCCAAGTGCCCCTTCAATTCATAAACCTGCCAGAGCAGACACAAATTTTCATTTTTCTTCCACTTTAATTATATACAACTTTTATGGTTCGACATACATCAAAAAACTTGCAGCGGATACAGTCTAAGTTTCAATCCAAGATCTAAATTCTAAGAGTAAGACAAAGGGATGTGGACTTACCGGACTGCAGTCTAAGTTACAATCCAAGATCTAAATTTGCAAATTCCACGTCGATCTTCTGCAAAAGAATCCCGTATGGATTGTAGCATGGAACGAACAGTGGGGACAAGAACCAGTTCTTCATCCTGCTCCTGAAAATTCAAAATTCAGGTTACCATATTTCTGTCTTGCAGATTTACTTTAACTAAACCATGGACATTCGAATAACTTACTACTTGAACCATTCGGTCTTCAACGCCCCCCAAATTAGCATCAATGGGCATAAAAATTTTTCTATAAGCTGCTCTCAGGCTTCTGATCTGAACCATTGCAGAAATGCAGGGAAATAATTCTAAGATGAAGTAAATGTAGAAGCAATAAAGCAGCATTTCAAATGTAACACAAAAGATTCATGCCTCAAAAGAAAGGGAATAAAATGAAAGGAACAAATTGCTAGGTATTTAAAAAAGCTGGATACAAGACCAGAACAGCAGTAAAATTCATGTGTTCCATCATAGTCACTGTCTCACTGATGTCCCCATGAACAAAATTTCGACACATCGGACAATCCCAGGCATCAGATACTATAACCTTAGCCGGAAAGCACGAGATGAGAAAAAATTATCTGCTGCTGAACTTGTACAGTTAGCAAGGGATGATTATTTAGACAGAGAGCTATAATCATACTTATACAGAAAATACAGGATGGTCATCTATTTCATTTGACTTAAAAAGAAATATGGTGGAGCAATTTCCATATAATGCGGCCCTTATATTATTTTGGTTCTTTGACGATCAGAATGGTTATCAATTGCTGAGATAAGCATAAGTTTCCACACAAACTCATGACCTAATTTGTAAAACCAATCAAGGACCGATTTCAACCAGAAACTAACCTCTGCAACAGAGAATCCATGACGCCGAAGACCTTCCAGATTTAACCCACGAAGCTGAGCTCTTTCCCCAGACACCATCATGTACTTGGGGATATCTTGTGAGACCTGCAGAAAATGAAAAATGGAACATCATCCATGGAAATTAACCTACTCATCTGTGTTAAATAGCTTACTTAATAGACCAACATAAACAATTGTAATGCTAACATGGAGAACATGAAATTATGCATGAACATACCACCGAACCACCACCTATGAAAGAAAATGAACCGATATGACAAAATTGATGAACCACAATTGCTCCTGCAGCGTGTGCATGGTCCTACAAGCAGAATGCATCAATCACAATACAGCACAAGTATCATTGAAAGAGTTATCTAGGTTAGCATTGCAAAAGAAGAGTAGAACAGATACTGTGACTCACTTCCACCACAACATGACCTGCTAGAAGAGTATTATTCGCAAAAACATTGTTACTACCCACTTTGCAGTCATGGGCTATATGACAAGATCCCATTATAAGATTGTTATCACCAATGACCTGATTAGAGAAACACATCATGAATCAGATTGAGTTTTCTGGGTTTAAGAATGAAAAAGTAGCATGTATAATTTCATACGGTAATGTCACTTGGCTTTGAAGATCGATGAATAGATGTATGTTCTCTAATCTCATTGTTGGCGCCTATCTCAAGGAAGCATTCATTCCCTGGCTAAAACAATCAAGAGATGGTTATTATGACACAGTGTTCAAGAGAAACTGTAAAGATTTAAAGTACAAGCTAGTACAAGAATCAGTAAAACCTTTAGAAGAGAAAAAGAAAGAATAAGACGCAATACAACAGAACAGCGGACGGTGGACAGTGGACAGTGGACACCAGAAATTTTGAAGCTATAACTTGGACAAAGTGAGAAGAAACACAGCTCATGCTTCTTAGAAAGAAGCCCACAACCTAATCAGCTTTACAGATCATGCCTTTAGTTTTGCATGGAGTTTAAGAAACATACAGCCACGTGCATGTTATCAAAAACAATCACTCAAACAAATAAAAGTACATTGAATGGAAATATTCAAAACCTTTCAGAACCAAAAAACAGTCAACCACGTTGCAGCACGTGTTTCTCCAAAGGGATTAAGATGTAGAAATTGGATTGACGTTCTTACAATTAGTTAGCCCTAAAGTATCAATAGAGAAACAAGATATCATAGGTAACAAAATCGGCAATAGCCAATAGCTTTTAAAATCAACTGATGTGCAATAGATAGAAAAAAGATAACTGTCACTAGCACAGAATGATTTAAGGAGTCTTGTGAATTGAGTCAGACTTTGTATACTCTTCCAAGTTGAGTTAGAAGCTTACAGTTTCAACCAATCCATCAATGCAAAAATGGAGAATGTCCTCCAGAATTCTAGAAAGCTGACCTTGTATTTCATGTCTTGGCATTTAGCTCCAACAACGGCATGATGTCCTATGGTATTATTGCACCCAATGACAGTGTGACCAGGAAGATCATCTCCAACTACAGCACCACTGGTAGATATCAACACATAGTGGACATAAGTTATTGCAGAGGAAAAACAAAAGAACAACAAAAAAGGTTTACAAGCAGAATGACTACACAGGAACTGCGTGTCAGCTATATTAAAAGAATAAATAGTTAAGAGAATCTTCAACTTACACCATCAAAACACAGTTATCTCCCAATTCTGTGTTTCCAAAGACGTGGCTGCCAGGGTACAACTGACAAGCATTCCCCACCTTTGCTGAAGGTCCAATTGTGCAGAAGGGACCAATAGAAACACCCTATACAGAACAAACATTTTATGTTCTCCAAATAAATCAAACTAGATACTGAATATATACCTTCACTATCAACATTCCAATACCATAAAACACCTAGAAGAAAACAATGTCTTGAACTGACTTGACAAAATTACTTTCCTTGCATCAGAAGACATACATGCTTCTCAGATGGGGAAAGCTTGGTCAGTAGACATTAACCACCAGACTCGTTTAACTTAAAATGCCTGACGTACATAAATACCATGGCAAACATGTTAGGAGATTCAAGGGAGGAAGAAGAAACAATGCTAATTCTTCACCTGCTCAGAGTTCAATGTTTTTGCTCTATCTTCTCATAATAAAAAATATATTCGAACTGGCCAATAGCTTGCAATGAGCTCCAATTGTTTCATAAACAGAAGTCATCAAAATGGTCACTAAAGTACCCACATTGGCAACTAAATCCTGTAAAAGATTACCATCTATAAAGGTTTCTGAAGATGGTGCATTGGTTGCAAGGCTTACAAAATCTCTGTGATAACAAAGTAGATATGCTATAAAATTAATCTGTCCTTGCATGAACAGAAATTAATAAACTAATGAAGGGAGAAAAAAACATCTAGATTGCAAGATCACAAAAAATATGATTAAATAGTACAAACACTTAACAGAAGCCATAGCATAGCAAGACAACCACTTTAGAAGCTAGAACAATGACAATTCTAAGGAGTTATTCTCCCAAGAAGATCAAATTAACTGCAAATGATTTGTAGTCTTTTATGGCACAAATAACCTTAGCATTCTTCTAGAAAACTTGACAGAAATTCGTGTAAACTTTTTTATTCCTACTCTGCTTGTTCAATATTTTATCAGAACCATCATGTTCTAGCCTTCCATCGGCATCTTTAAATTCCATTTGCCAAAGGCTTTAAATTAGAGCCATATTCACTAAAAAAGATATTCCAATACCTGAACTATAAAGAATTTCAGAACAGCATTATTGCCAACAAGGAAACTCGGAAACAACTTTTGCATAGTAAAATCAACTTAGGCTGTCAAAAAGTTATTGATAAGGATCATTTAGTTCCAAAATTTTCTTCAAAATAGCCATTATCCAAATGAAACTACTCAGCCACCTAGTAAGAAACAAGCTTCGAGTATTTGAAATCAAACCATGGGTAATTGACATGCCCTGGAATCCACGTACAAAAACCTAGAGTTCAAATATTGAGCTTCTTTTTGTATATATGGGAAATGTAGTTTGAAATTCTGACTAGCATCATAGCTTCTAAATTTTTCCCATATAAAACTCGAATTTGATTAATTGTTTCCTCATCCAAGCATTTGTTCAACAAATGACACTGTGAAGTAGAAATAGCCAATATTAACTTGCGTCCAGCCCACCAAATAAAATTTGGAACTTGAGCCACAGAACACCATTCTTGATCATATTACATAAGCCGACAAGGGACAACTTAAGCAACATCCATTAGTATTTTAGAGTATTAAGAATCGTTTAAAGAGAAATTTCATAAGCTAAATGTTCAAAAATCCCCTCATACACTCCTAAAACCCACAAAGGAAATGAAGAAAGAAAGAAAAAGGAAAAAGTTACCTGGCCTAAAATGGCTTCAGGGTGAACGATAGCAGCGGGATGAATGAAGGTAGGCCTGTTATGATGAGGTGGGCCTCTTTTTTCTGTGCCATCATGCTTGTCTTCCTCAGCAAAGCCTGCAAAAAAGGAAAAAAAATCGCAATTACGAATAAGCAATGACCGTAAGCAAAGCTCATAAATATATGTAGTCCTGAAAATAAATGTTCTTCAACAAAGGAGAAGAGAGAATGTTTCACAGTGGAGTGGATTGGAGGAGGAGGAGAATCGCCGGAGAATCAGTCCTCTCAGAGCTAAAGAAAGCGGCCGCCGGAAGCCGAATCTGAGCGCTGAAGTCATGCCTCCAGCCCGGGAAGGAGGAACTTTTTTGTTTTTCCATTTAAGTTTGTTATTTTAGCACTTTTTATTTTCTCAGATTTACCTTTCACAAGGAAATTTTGCAGTAGGAGTCGGTGACATTTATAATTTATCTTTTTCTGCCCTTTACAAATTTTTTTTTTTTTTTTCGACAAGAGGTGTCCGGGTCAATTCTTACGGGGTCCGACTAATCTCCTGCGGTCCGGATCCGGCCCTCAACCCGACCCGAACATATTAAGTGCGCGGAGGAATCCAGCGGAGCGGAGACTCGAACTTGTGACCTCAAGGTTCACTGGTGAGAGGCGCCCTTTACAATTAAAGTTAATGCATTTTAGTCCGCAACATAGTAGATTTCTTCTTTTTATTTATTTTAAACAACAAATTAATTTGTAACGTAATCAAATTGTGAAATCTGTTCTCAATTTCTACTTCCAGCCACTTCTTTGCTTAAAGAGCTAACAAACCTCGTGCTAAAATGGAGTATTAGTTTTAGTTGTTAATATTATGGGACGACACACCATAAGACTCAATAATACATAAAATTCCCAAGTATTATTAATTTTATTATGGGATGATAGATCATAAGGCCAAATACTAATACATGACGTAATAAAAGTGAATGTTTCATTTGCCAATGAATTGGATCCGCCCTAGATCAATAATTGGATTCTTGGCAAAAATGATGCTAATACTAATGATGATAAATCAACACGTTTGGATAGAAGATTATTTGAGATAATTTTTTGATAAAAAATACTGTAACACCATTTTAGTGTGACATATGTGAAATAAAAATGTAGTTAAAAAATGTAATTATTTAAATAATTTGCTATCCAAACATAAATGTCATCGTCATTTTCTATATCTTGAAACTCCGTTCTCTTTATCAATACAAAAAATAAAAAAGTACCAATAAAAAATGTCCACTACCACCACTACCAACAACAATAATAAAAATAATCTAAATACAAAAATCATTAGGCTGGACGAATAATTTTCACAGCTACAAATAATCCATGCATTTTTTGTCACGGGAAAGAGCAATGATGCTGCATTTTTGGCATCATTTCCGCTTCTCACAGAAGACCTTCATAAGCTGTCCTTTGATCATCATCTGAAGGAGAGCTTAACACGAGAGCCATGCAAATGTCATCAGGCTGCTTTCTTGATGAAGATTTTTACTCTTGCCTTTGTCCTTGTTTATTTCTGATTAGGAGGCAGCGCCATGGGGTATTCTGGTTGTTTCACCGGGGAGTATGTTTGTTGCTTAGTTCATGAAACCATCACCTTCCAGCATCCGAAGAACCTGCAGATTCAGAGGAGGTGCAAGAGAAAGCAAAATATAAGCATATATGCAAGCACCATAGCTAGAGGTAATAGAGGAAGTGCTATTATAACGTAATTAATGAGGATAGTAATAGAATTACTGATATTATAGCTAGATATGCAACAAAACTGAAAGTTGATGCGGTTTGGCATGACAGAATACCTCCATGGTCAGCACAGTAGGTGAGTTTTGAGGCCTTTACCTCGGCTATACAGATTACTTGTACATGTGTGTGCATATTAATGAATTTCTGCCGCTTTTGACAAAATAAAAAAGGGACTATTCAGTGTCAAGATTTGTCCAATACTCGGTTGTATACCTGAGACATGCGGGGCCGTGAATGGGGGTCTCGTTGTATGCACAAGAAAGCACAACGCAGCATGCTTTTAACCTCCTGCTCCGAGTAGCAGCTCCTCAGAAGGGGGTCAATTAGTTCTGCAATAGCATACTCTTCCAGAAGGGGGCGTGCCTGTATGACATCCAAATGTGAGAAGCCAAGCAACCACTGCAGAATAAGGAATTAAGACCTTTTGTTGCAACAAAAACAGATATATAAACACATCATTATGTTGTCCATTCAGGGATTATGGTCTATCAGAAAATTACTAAGTTTGCAACTTTCGACATTGTGACGTTTCAGAAGATACCATTACAGCTAGTTTTCTATTCGTACATTGATGAACTGTGTGTGAAAGGATTATAATCAGACATACCCACTCAGTGAGGTACTGTTGACCCTTGGGCCGATTTATATCCACAGCCTTCCTTCCTGTGACCAGCTCTATCAGAACTACACCGAAGGCATATACATCAGCTTTTTCAGTGATTTGACCGCTCTGAGCATATTCTGGAGACAAGTATCTACATTAAGGAAGATTGGATGTCACATGAGTGTCACGTAAACAGTGTGCCCGAGAATTGAGAACATCATACTTACCCAAATGTTCCAATTATTCTTGTTTCAAAGCCCATCTCCCCATCAGGCTGCCACCTTGCTAGTCCAAAGTCTCCAACCTTTAGTTCAAGGATAAAGGACATGGAAACAAAAGAAGAGAGAACAAAAAAATTAAGATAAGGATCAGAACTGCAGAAATGACCATGAAATGAGGTTGAGCAAGAAAATTAGAAAAGGCCTTTACATGCCCCTTCATACAATGAAGGCCTTATTAGAGGATAATGTTATGGATGAAGGTGAACTTAGACAGTGCTTGTAAGGATTCCCGGGTGAATAGCAGGATCTATGGTGTACTTGACAAACAGCTCACACTTGGCAAGGGGATTTGCATTTACAAATTCAAATCTGCACCCCCATCTATAAGACACAAGCATATTGCCAATGTACCAGAGATGACATTGTGAAAACAAAAAGGTTGTACAGCTGTAGGCAGCTTGCTTACATGACTACTGGCATAACATCATCTCACCTTGAGTGAGACAGTGAAAGAAAAGATCATGTTGTTTACAGAGCCTGCATTTTCTTTTTGTTAGGCAATAATTTTTAACAGAATAAATATGGATAAAAGATTTGCCATTGGGAATATTTCTAGACACTCCTATCATTTTATATTGCTGCTATCATTTTATCATGTAACAATCATTATAAAAAAAAAATATTGCTGCTTATACTAAGGTTGCAATCCATATTCAGGCTGTACATGAAACAAAACGTTTTGAAGTATAGGACTGTTTGAGCCAGATTACATGAGGCAAAGGATTTTCCAGGACAGTTTTTGGTCCTAAGTTTGCATTTGTACAACCATCTTACTCATCTAGTTTTGGAGGAAAGCTCAACAATTATGATAAAGAATAGAAGAAAGAATTGGAAACGAAGTGAGGGAGATTAGAATGGCATACAAGTGGTTCAAAATCGTGAGTAAGAAGAATATTATTCGGCCGCATGTCACGATGGATAATACAGCCCACTCTGCACTCTTCATGAAGATATCTCAGTCCTCTAGCAGCCCCAACTGCAATTTTATGACGTGCAGACCAGTCTAATGGATTAGGTTTACGTCCTGCAAATAATCATAACAGCTTAAAGTCACTTATTTCAGATATCATTCACATTCTCAAACAGTATTTGATACCCAAATCATTTATTATATCCAGTGCATACGAGATATTTGTCCTAATACTCTGTAAAATGGAAAGCAGAGATACATATGCAAATTATTAGGATGTGTAAATAAACTGGTGAGTAAGGGTAAAAGTAATCTCCTTGTGCATATGCAAAATTGGGGCAAGTGCAAGACATCAAAAGCTCTGTAGACCATCTCTCATAGGTTTTGACATATATTACATGCTACTGGGTATTGGTTTCACAGATTGAAATATGGTAGAACTTAACTGGGAGAAGCATCTCATCTGTTCTATTCACGATGAACATCAATTGATGAAATAATGTGAATCAGTTTAAAAAACTATACCATAAAGATGAGCATCCAAAGAGCCATTGCAGATATATTCATAAACCAGCAACCTTCTTCCACCTTCCACACAAAATCCATTCAGCATTACAACATTACGATGCTGTGCACAGCTCAAGACCTCTACTTCCGAGCAAAACTCACGGTCACCCTGAGTGCTGGCTGTTTTATGTTGCTTCACAGCTATTACCTGCCCATCTGGTAAGACTCCACGGTGTACAGAACCATATCCACCCTCAGCCAAGAAATTAGCTTGTGAGAATCCACCCGTAGCTTGTTCAAGCTCAGCATAAGTTAACCACCTTGGAGGTTTTCCAAACACAGGTGCTCTGTGCTGACATACTGAACAAAGTGGAGGAGGATCAGGAGGTGATTTGGTAGTTAGTGAAACTGCGTCTCTCACATTTGCACTCAAGTCCACATCTAGCCCATGTTTTGGAACTCCAACGGCGGTCTCTCGATCAGGTACAGAGATTTTCCTATCTAAGGACTCGAATGTGGGATTCAGCATTCTATTGAAATTCTGAAAATTTTTTTTACAATACTTCGAATATTCTTGGGCTGAACTAAGAATGTCTGCCACCCATTGGTGGGAATTCACACTTGTGGAAGGAGACGTCAACTTCTCGCTATCTGTGTCAGAATCTGATTCATCTACATCGTGATTATCTTTGTGATAGGAAAACCAATCCTTCTTTAGCCTCCAGTCAATTTCAGAGATAAACTTTGGAGAGCTGCCCAGGTCTAAGCTTGATTTTGATGATGCCTCAATATCAGTAGCAGTGAATGATGTATGCTCGGGACTGCTCACTGGAGTCACATTTGGCACCTGAGTGGCATTCCACCGATCAGAGTCCTTTTCAACATGCATTTCATATGCTTCAGACCCAGAGAGCCCAACAGCTTCAATACTTGATGTTCCAATCAAATTCAGACGAAGCACTTTTGGACGAGACTTCTTCATCACCACGACGTTGCAGTCGAGTTGGTCCATGCAACATTTGGCCTCCTTCTTTACTCCTCTGCTTAATAAAATTAAAGTAAAAACTTAGGGAAGAAATATGGCGTGAATAGAACTATCAGATAAGAGCCTTTGTGATTTCAGAAACCCAATCATCTCAATTAACAAAGATTCATAACAAGACAAAATATTCAGAGTTCAACTTACTTATCCAATATGACCCATTGTGTTTGTGCTTTCTTGGCTTCAGCAGCCACTACTCCAAGTTCGGAGCCAGAAACTACTTTTACCTTCAACTTTATCTGCAAAGAATATCAAAGAAGTTGGAACAAGTAAAAAGGAATCAATTTCTATTAA